TAGAATTAGTCACATAGCTGCAACCTCTGTGCCCTGGGTTCCGGGAAATCAAGTCACCCTGTATATCCCATAAAAGACACCAGATAGTGCATCCCGGCAGTTCTGGCACAATGGTGGATCACAACATGTATTTTCTGCTAGAGGCAGACATTTTCTCTAATAAATCTCTGTGTACACCTCCCTGTCAACTCTTCCTGAAATGCTGTATAATGCCAGGACCAATAAGGGACCCAAGAGAATGGGTGCCTGGTGATGTTTCTTAGTCATTTTAGAAATTTGCAGAAAGTGAGGGAATCTTCTGGGACATCTCACTTCTGAACATTTTTGTTGTGGCTCAGTTAGCCAGCAAACAATGACTGCAGGTGACAACATCTTGATGGCCATCCCTGACAGCTGGGTTCCTTTTACAGAGCACAGTTTCATGCTTCATGTCCTCCTGGTGGTCAGTAAATGACAGGCAGAGAAGCTAATGATCATTTTGTGCAGTGAAATTGCATGAGGCGGTCTCGGAGCAGTTTTTTAAAAATTTTTTTCCTGTTCTCTAATACATAGGGCTCACTCTTAAACCAGTATTTGCCCTCAGCTCTGATGTCAGAGAAGAATGTATTTTCTGTTGTCTTTTATTACCAAAATGACATACTCCTGCAGGCCTATTAATATTTCACTTGAGTAGTTCTTTTGACTCATAATTGGCACCTACACAGATGGAATAGTTTACCTACAAGAGTTAACCCGGGAAGTTCACAGTCGCACAGTCACACCTTAGGGCCATTCTTTACTAAGCTGCAGAGCTAATGAGCCCATGGTCTGCAGTGTCTCATAGTTCTGTAGGTTGATCTGAACATCTGCTTACTTATTTTTTTCTGCCAAATTTCAGGTTTTACCACAACTAGGAAGCAAGATAGCGATATGATTGCTTATGACGCCTCCAGGGTGAGACTGAGTTTTAACCGAATTCTGCCACTCAGTGACCTTGGGCACTATACTTGCTTTTTAGGCCTGCTTGGATATGCGTGGTAACAAATGCAGATTGGGGAACTTAAGCAGCGGAAATTTATTTTATCCCAATTCCGGAGGCTCAGAGTCTGAGGTCCAGGTGCCAGCAGGGCTGGTTTCTCCTGGGGTATCTGTCCTTTATGGACAACCCTCTTCCTCTGGGTCTCCATTCAGGCTTCCCTCTGTTTGTGTTTGGGCCCAGTGCTCTTGTTTTTATAAGATAACCAGAGAGATTGGATGAGAACCAATTTAATGAACTCCTTTTAACGTCATTATCTCCGGGAAGACCCCATCTCCAGATGGGATCACTTTCTCAGGTACTAGGGGTTAGGACTTCAGCTAAGAGATGTGGAGGAAGACACAGCTCGGCCCATAACATACCCTTAGCCCTGCCTGATCTGCAAAAAGTAAGAAAAATCCTTCACGGGGTTACTGTGAGTAGTAAAAAAAAAAAAAAAGGAATGCATAGATTGCTTAGCACCATACCTGGAATATGCTGAGCATTCACTAACAACTATTTATTCTAAATCTTATTATATGTGTGTCATCTATTCCTGTTGGGAAATATAACCTCTTCATTACTGAGGCCTGAGATTATCATACTGTTTCTTGAACTCTCTTAGCACCTTAATAGACTGCCTTCAACCAACACACGACACGACCTGAAGCCCTGGGAATGTGGGTGAGGGAATGGGTATGAACTGTGTTTGGGATTTCTCAGTGGTCCTCATTGGCTGCCACTTCAGTGTCATTAGGCACCCATACGTAGTGATGAAATGCTCTTATCGATCCTGATTCCTAGAGTGGCGTGCCCAGAAGCTTTATCAGCATTAGACAAGCACCTGGAGAAAAGTAATCTCTTTCTATCAGGAGCAGGAGACAGAGGCATTTTGCATTGTCAGGAAAGTAACTATAAAATTATAGTAAATATAAATCGTGGGGCCGGTGCTGTGGCATAGTGGGTAAAGCTGCCACCTGCAATGCTGGCATTCCATATGGGTGCTGCTTTGAGTCCCAGCTGCTCCACTTCTGATCCATCTCTCTGCTATGGCCTGGGAAAGCAGTAGAAGATGGCCCAAGTCCTTGGGCTCTTGCACCTGCATGGGAGACCGAGAAGAAGCTCCTGGCTTCGGATTGGCGCAGCTCCAAGCGTTGCGGCCAATTGGGGAGTGAACAAGAGGATGTAGGATCTCTCTCTCTCTGCCTCTCCTTCTCTTTGCAACTCTGACTTTCAAATAAATAAGTAAATATGTTTTTAAAAAAATCGTGCACTGGAAATTACTGGATAAATGCTAAATAATGAAGTAGTGAAAATAGTTAACTTTCCCATGACTGTTAACTATCACTAACATTTCTAGACTTGAAGAGAATTGTGGTAGAGTTCTTTGTTGCTGGGATTGTGGTGAGTGATCATCTTCAGGCCCAAAGAATTCCCTGTTTTCTGAATTTCTGACATTTCTTTCAACTGGTACAAATGCTCTTCACTTTTAAAAAGTGCTTCTACTGTCACCATACAGTCATAGCTTGTGTTAAATATTAGCAAGCACAGCTCTCCACTGAATCAGACGGAACGTTGGTTTGCATGGTCAGTGATGTAAGCTGTCCAAGGTTGTACAACCCATTGGTCATGGGAAGCTTCGAATGTGGTGGGGAATGTGTGTTTATTAGGCCCACACAGCACAGTGGCCCTCAGTGATAGCAGCTGAGTTATACAGGCTTCATTAACTAGATATAAAAGGCACCTATGCCAGATTCTACTTACTGCACCCCCCTCCCCACTCCTAAACTGTGAGCCAAGGGCACTGCTAGCCGCAGCACCTACCCTCTTTTACTTTTAACAGATCAGCTATAGGATCTTGTCAATTTTACTTTGAAATATCTCTGCTTTTTAAAAAGATTTATTTATTTATTTATTTGAAAGGTGGAGTTACAGAGATAGAGGGAGAGACAGAGAGATCTTCCATCCACTGGTTTATTCCCTAGATGGTCACAACAGCCAGGGCTGGGCCAGACCGAGGCTAGGACCCTAGAATCCATCCAGGTCTCCAATGGCAGGGCCCAAACACTTGGTTCATCCTCTGTTGCTTTCTCAGGCACATTAGTAGGGAAATGGATTAGAAGCAGAATAGCCTAGACTCCGTCTGGTGCTCATATGGGATGCCATCCTCACAGGTGGTCACTTAATCTGCTGTGCCACAACACTGCCCCATCTTTTATATTTTAATAAAAAGTACTAAGTAACAAGTATGGGGATTGTCACATTAATACTGAGCTACAATAAGGAGTATGTATTTGGTCTTTGCCCCAGGTTCCTGGCACAGACCTCCTTATTCTTGGAATCTCCAAAGTGATAAGTGTATTTCTTGTGGCAATGAGATGACTGGTGGATCCCGGGCCCCACATAGCTTCAGTTTGGAGGTTGGCAGCCAAAAAGACAAAGAGGGTTGGCACTTTGAACCCCATCCCTGACCCCTGGGGAGTAGGGGGAAGGTGATTATCAGGTTATCACCACTGTGTAATGAGTAATCTGTCAAACCTATACAATGGAGCCTGCAAAGGAACCCTGAATGGTGGCTCTTTTTTTTTTTTTTTTTTTTTTTTTTTAAGATTTTTATGTATCTATTTGAAAGAGCTACAGAGAGGGGAAGGGAGAAACAGGGAGATCTTCCATCTGCTGGTTCCCTCCCCAGATGGCCTCAAGGGCAGGCGCTGAGCCAGGTCAGAGCCAGGAGCCAGGAACTGTATTCAGGTCTCCCACATGGGTGGTATGGCCTCAAACATTTGGGTCATCCTCTGCTCCTCTTCCCAGGCCACCAATAGGGAGCTGGTTAGGAAACAGAGCATTCAGGACATAAACCAGTGCCCATATGGGATGCCAGCATCGCAGACAGCGGCTTTTACCCCCTACACCAAAGGGTAGCCTTTGGAAGGTTTCTTAGCTGGTGAGCACATCAAAGTGCTGGCAAGATGGTGTGACCAGATAGACCATAAAGGCTCTGCACCCACAACCACTATAACCTGCCCTAAGAATCTCTTCAATTTCACTCTTCCTGAGTTGTATTCTTTATAAGTAAAGTATTCCTGAGTTTTGTGAGTAGTTCCACCAGTTATGAATCTGCAGAGAGGGTTTGGGGAAGCCCTGATTTATGCCAGTTGGTCAGAAATACAGTCTGGGACTTATGCATCCCATATGGGGGCCAGTTTGTGTCCTGGCTGCTCTTCTGATTCGGCTCTCTGCTATGTCCTGGGAAGGCAGTGGAAGTTGGCCCAAGTGCTTTGTTCTCAGCACCCACATGGGAGACCCAGTTGAAGCTCCTGGCTCCTGGCTTGAGATTGGTTCAGCTCTGGCTGTTGTAGCCATTTGGGGAGTGAACCAGTGGATGGAAAACCTTTCTGTCTGTCTCTCCCTCTCTCTGTCTGTAACTCTACTTCTCAAATCAATAAACAAAATCTTTTAAAAAGTGCAAATACCAATATGAGTGCACTTCAAAAATGTTTTGTCGAAAAATACAATTAAAAGATAATGTACATTTTCCATGAACTTTTTGAAGACCCCCTCATATAAATATGAATTTAGATGAAGTAATTTTTAACTGACCATAGAATAATGGATATATCCATTCTTAGGGCCATAAATGCTAAAACATATCTTATTAGGGATTGGTAAAACAGAGAATTAGGTAATTGGTTTAATGTTGCCTAATTTTTCTGTAAATTTATTTATCTCTCTGTTGAAAAAACAACAGCAATAACCAAAAGAAGTATCTTTAGCTTTAGCCCCTTCTCATGCATGTCCACTGTCCTCAGAGGCCTCTGTCTTTGATTCTGGAGGAAAAAGGAACAAGGGTCTGACTGCTCTCTTCTCCCCCGGTACGAATCATTCTATTTTATTGATGTTTTTTCCTTTCGTGGTTTCTTGCATATGTTTCTCATTCCCAAGAGTGTTCTTTAAACTTTGCCTCTTTATATTTTTTAATTGGCTTAATTTAATTTTTATGTTTCAGGGAAGAACAAGTAGGTATCCTATATCAAAACATCAACCTCGTGGAGCCAAGACTGATTCAGCCGTATGAACATGTCATAAAGAATTTTATCCGTGAGATCAGACTTCAGAGCACAGAAATGGAAAACCTGGCCATTGCAGTGAAGAGGTATGGAAGTCCTTCCTTCCTGAGAGACACAGAGGGGCCGTGAACGGAGTGGAAAATGGACTGAGCATCACAGGATGCCACAGGTGGACTTCCTGAACTCAAGAATGTAAACCCTTCTCAATTAAGCCAGCACAGGGGAAGTTGAGTCAGACAGGGACTTACAGAGGCAGCCAGCAATCAGTCAGGAGGTCATGGTGATCCTAGTATATAAATTCTCCATAAGCAGTTATTTGATACACAGCAATCCAGAGATTTATTGTGTATCTTGCCACTCTAACTAAGCATGTAAGAAATAACAGAGTTAGGCAAGTCTCCATCTTAAGCCTGTGTTGGTCAGCTACGGGTGTGAGGCCTGGGGGCAGCTTTGCTAATCTCCTGGAGCCTCAGTTCTTGCATATGTAAAAGGATGAAAATATTCACCTCCTCAGGGGGTTGAGACTTAGTAGCTTATGTCTGGGACAAAGCCCCTGACTTAGTGTGTAGCATGAGGCGGCTACTCAGCAGTGCTGCTTTGCCTTTCACTAGCCCACCTCACCTGGGCAGGGTCTATGTTCTAAAGGTCCCTCTTTCAGGAAGTGTTTGAATGGCTGCTTGTGAACCAGCCCTTGCACTTGTAACCAAGGGCCATCCATCCTTGTTTCTGTGTTGAGGGTAGGTCTCAGTTTTTTAGCTTTGCACTTGCACCTGAAGAATGAGTTCCCAGTGTCCTGGTTGGAACTTGGAAGTAGATAACATTGGCTGATTCTAGCACACTAGACATTTTACTAGGAATTAGAAATCGTTCAACAAATGCTGCATCATTATAGACTACCCTGATTTATCGGAAAAAAAATAGTTGCTTAGAATGAAGAAGTGCAAAGAGAAAATATTGAGGAGTAGTCCCACATGTTTTGGAGTGGATACTTAAAAGAAATAGCTGGAAAAAAGGATGATGGCAAAGAGAGAATTGATAATCCCAGAGTTGATTTTTTAAAAGATTTATTTATTTATTTATTTGAAAGTTAGAATTACACAGAGAGGAGAGGCAGAAGTCATCCTTTTGATGGTTTACTCCCCAGTTGGCCACAATGGCTGGAGCTGCACCGATTTGAAGCTAGGAGCTTCTTCCGGGTCTCCCATACAAGTGCAGGGGCCTGAGGGCTTGGGCCATCTTCTGCTGCTTTCCCAGGCCATAGCAGAGAGCTGGATGGGAGCTAGAGCACCCGGGACTAGAACTGGTGCCCATATGGGATGCTGGTGCTTCAGGCCAGGGCTTTAACCTGCTGCACCACAGTGCTGGCCCCCCCAGAGTTGATTTAAAAAAAAAATAAAGCTCTGTGGAGATACATAATCTTTAGACTTCAAATAGCAGGTGTCATAAACAGAAAGTAGAATAATTTTCAAATGGTTAACATGACCTTGGGCAGGATTTCAGGTGAGCAGAAGGTAAACAAGATCAGAAAGCAGTATTGTTAGTCACATTTTTACATGTATAAAACTATGGTATTTCCCCCCCCCCCACAGCATTTTTCTGTGATTTTATGTAGAAGTTAAACTAATGTACATGGTGTGAAGATGCACGTAAGTATAAAAAAAATTAAGATGGTACAACAGAGGTGCATCAGACTAGAAGGTGGAGGAGGTCTTGTATTTGAGCTCTGTCTTCTACCTTTTATTAACAGCATGTTATTGGTTTAAATGAATCAAGTCTAATGCCAATGGTGACTGCTTTTCAAGTCACTGATAACCTACTAAAGCAGGCAAGATGCGTTCATGTGAAAAGCTTGATAATTGGACATGTAGCTATGAGAGGACAAAAGAAAATCACACACACACACACACACACGCACACACACATTTAAGTTTTAATCTGAACCCTCCACCATTGTAAAGTGATGATTATCTCCAAAGTAGATAATTGCTAAATAAAGCAATTGTGGGATCCCTATAACCCACATTTTTCCATTTCTAACTTTTTAAAAAATCAATATGCTCTGCCTTCATAGAGATGGGATTTGTTAATTGTATTTGGAAAAGAAAAATTAGTAAGAACAGTTTCCCACAGCTCCTGCTCCAGTCCCTCTTGGTTTGACTTCAGGGACAGGTTGTTGCATGTATGCCTAAGCCCCACCAACCTAACCTCCCCTTTGCATTTGGAAATTCTGCTCATGTGTGCTTCCGAGGAGTTATGTCCCACTGGGCCCATCTCTTGGTGCTGTCCCAGACCTGCAGGCCTACGTGAAGCCACCCACCTGGCCCACTGCTGTCACAAGCTGTTGCAGGAATAGTAAGGCTGAGGACCAAGGTGAGGTGATGGAGAAGGCTAGGAAGAGAACTCACAGGCTGCAAGGAGCGACAACCACGTTGAGAAGGCAACAGAAGTCCAGTACATCAAACACAACCTGAAGGAGGACAAGGAAACCATCATGGCTGCCGTGAGAAGCCCAGTGGAAGGGCCAGGCTGAGAACTGGTTCAATGCGTCCTCTTCTAAATGTGGTCCAAGTGCCTGGCTTTTGACTTCACTGCTTCAAGCCACACCCTCACTTGTCCTGCCTTCACCCTGCACCTGAGAGGCAGAATGGCCATGCAGAACTCACCTCACACATGGGCAGGAGTGTGTCCAAGCCACACCTTGACAGAACTCAGTATCAGTATTGCAGTGATACTGATAGTTAGGCATTATTCCCATTCCTACCTTAATTTTTTTTTTTTTTTGACAGGCAGAGTGGACAGTGAGAGAGAGAGACAGAGAGAAAGGTCTTCCTTTTGCCGTTGGTTCACCCTCCAATGGCTGCCGCGGCTGGCACGCTGCGGCTGGCGCACCACGCTGATCCGATGGCAGGAGCCAGGAGCCAGGTGCTTTTCCTGGTCTCCCATGGGGTGCAGGGCCCAAGCACCTGGGCCATCCTCCACTGCACTCCCGGGCCACAGCAGAGAGCTGGCCTGGAAGAGGGGCAACCGGGACAGAATCCGGCGCCCCGACCGGGACTAGAACCCGGTGTGCTGGCGCTGCTAGGTGGAGGATTAGCCTAGTGAGCCGCGGCGCCGGCCCCATTCCTACCTTAATTTTATAAAACAAAAACTAGTCATGTGTTCAATATGGATAAAAATATTCTATCACTCTTTGTAAATCTTGGCTTACCCATCCCCACAAATAAACATCACACTTTAATACTACAATTCTCACTGTATTTGATTGTAGATTGTTAATGAGGGGAAAGGTCCTAGGCTATGGGAGACTTAATTATCCTATTACCTGCCTCTCAGGACAAACACAACAGTCTGTTAAATGTAGTGCACATATATGAATTGTCCAGTTAATCTCCACCAAAATTACTCTGAGATACTGTGGGGTGAATAAGTGGAATATGAAATGGAAGATAGCTTTATTTTGAACAAGTTGCCTTTTAACATGTGTTAAGGTTTTTCTAAAATCAATCCAGGCCATGAGACAGATAATCTTTCTCATTGTTTTTAAAAATATTATAACTGAAAAATACATTGCAAAATAGAACATATAAAAAAACGTGGTTTTCAGGGCAGAGTTGTGGCACAGCATTTTAAACTGTCATTTGCAATGCTGGCATCTCATATCAGAGTGCAGATTTGTGTCCTAGCTGTTCTGCTTCTGATCCAGCTCTCTGCTAATGTCCACGCTGGGGTACAGCAGATGAAGGCCCAAGTGCTTGGGCACTTGCCACTTATGTGGGAGACCAGAATGGAGTTCCAGCCACCTGATTTTATCCTGACCCAACCTTGGCCTTTGCAGCCATTTGGGAGTGAACCAGCTGATGGAAGATTCTCAGATATTTATTCTCTCTCTCTCTCTCTTTGCCCCCAGCCCCCACCCTGATATTCTGCATTTCAAATGAATTAATGAATGAATAAATATTTTCTTAAAAGTTTTCTTACATGGGCCCTCTCACTAGGTGTCTGACACTATATACAAGAGCTGTCTGCTCCCTAAAGAGCTACTTTTAAGAATCACAAAACAGCTCAAACCCAAGCATACACTTTGGCCCCTTTGTGGAGAAGAATGGGGGAAACAAGATGGAAAGATGTATGAGTTTATAAGGCCAAGAAGGAATAGATTTGTCTAGAATTAAAACAATGAATTAGTGTTGCATTTTGTTAGACTTTCATGAGACTTTGTGTATTCTAAGTGGGTTTGACTGAACTTACAGTAGCAGGAAAATAATATTAATTAGTAGGGGTAGGTAAATTTTTTACATTGATATTTGAAAAAATTCAAGCAGTAAACAATATATGCATAATAGAAAAAGAATTTTTCTGCCTGCGGTGCCGGCATCCCGGGTTCTAGTCCCGGTCGGGGCGCCGAGTTCTAGTCCCGGTTGCTCCTCTTCCAGGCCAGCTCTCTGCTGTGGCCCTGAAGTGCAGTGGAGGATGGCCCAAGTCCTTGGTCCCTGCACCCCATGGGAGACCAGGAGAAGCACCTGGCTCCCGGCTTCAGATCAGAGTGGTGCACTGGCCGCAGTGCGCCGGCCGCGGGGGCCATTGGAGGGTGAACCAACAGCAAAAGGAAGACCTTTCTCTCTGTCTCTCTCTCTCACTGTCCACTCTGCCTGTAAAAAAAAAAAAAAAAAAAAAAAAGAAAAAGAATTTTTCTAAATGCAACCTTATATATACCTTATCTAGAACTTTAGGGGAATTATTAATTGTCAAGATCCTCTTTACCTTTCTAACTTCAGCATATAATATTGTGAGTTTCATGTCTCAAAATTATATCTAGCTGTCTCTATAGCATGATGTCTTTTATTTTGGGAGGGTAGGATCCAGGGTTGTAAATCATAGTAAAAGGGATTTAAGAATATTCAGAATTTATTGGGAGCCTTACAGTGATTTGTTATTTGTATATTTATGTATAAATGTATATGTTTTTACCATGATCTAGTTTAATATAATTTAATCGAATTTATTCAATATCTAATTTTAATAACATTTTATATCCAAATGGTTAAATTTCCAATCCCATTTTCTTACATGGAAGACAAGGGTAATATTATTACTATATATTTTTTTTTGACAGGCAGAGTGGACAGTGAGAGAGAGACAGAGAAAGGTCTTCCTTTTGCCGTTGGTTCACCCTCCAATGGCTGCTGTGGCTGGCGCGCTGCGGCCGGCGCACCGCGCTGATCCGAAGCTAGGAGCCAGGTGCTTCTCCTGGTCTCCCATGGGGTGCAGGGCCCAAGGACCTGGGCCATCCTCCACTGCACTCCTGGGCCATAGCAGAGAGCTGGCCTGGAAGATGGGCAACCGGGACAGAAGCCGGCGCCCTGACTGGGACTAGAACCCGGTGTGCTGGCGCCGCAGGCAGAGGATTAGCCTATTGAGCTATGGCGCCGGCCAATATTATTTTGAATGGTGTGTTTCTCCTCATGTATAAAATTTGGGCCTCCAAATGGGTGAGTTTATAGCTTTCTCTTCACGTGACAAGTCCAAGTGTATAATGGAAAGATGCATCCTTTGCGTTTCAGAGCCCAGGACAAGGCAGCCATGCAGTTGAGTGAGTTGGAAGAGGAAATGGATCAGAGGATTCAGGCTGCAGAACATAAGACACGGAAAGATGTAAGTGTGGGATTGGCTGGACTGGCTGTTCATTCAGCAACTTTTTATGGAGCACTTTTTATGGACAAGACCCCAAGCACTCGTGGGTGTGGGTACAACAAATCCAGGCTCCCACAAATGTTGCCATTGTTGGGTTTTCTAGTGGTGGTGTTTTTTGGAGTTGGAGTAAGAAGAAAGAGAGAGTAATAGAGGAAATACATAAAGCAGATAACTACTGATAGTGCTGAGTACAGCAGAGGAACAATGTGGATAATAGGCAGTGACTAGGAGAGGAGACTGCTGAGGTTGGATGACTGATGGCAAAAAGGTGTTGTGAGAGGGAGAGCAGAGGGGCAGAGGTGATCTGAGTAATGTGGCCTGAGGAGGTGGCGGAACCAGCCTTTGGTGGAGAGGATGGGTTGACATACCCATCTCTGTCCTTGTCTGCTGCCAAGTTTAGGTCTAGGTTACAGTGAAATGAAAAATCTGTCTTCAAACTTTGGTGTTTTGCAATGTAATATACCTTTATTCAACACTGGCAGAACTGTTTAAAGTTGAAAGTCACATGCTATCTTCAGTATTTCTTTTGAATCAATAATTATCTTTTCCCCTTTAAAAACTAATGGTGACTAATGGTTACTGAAAACAGAAAATAGAAATATATTTCTTGGAGTGGTTAGTGTGAGGTTAAAGTTTCTATTTTTATTCATTCATTTGAGCCATTATATGCTGTAGTGTTGCTTGCATTGTTTACCTTAGTAGCTTTTTATGGTAGTTTTTTTAGGTTGATGCAATATGTGAATGAGGGCAGTTTTGCTTGTCTTTCTGATCTGAATGATGCTTTCTGTTTTTCTTGCCACATCATACTGGTTAGAGCAATAAAAATGATGAGAGTTGGTGTCGTTGTCTACATTCAGTCTTTTGTCTTTAAATTTGGTGTTACGGGTGTGTTCATAAATCCCCTATATTAAGTTGACGTTCCTCTGTGTGCCTAGTTCACTGAGAGTCATTGCAGTTGTTGTTTTAATCAGGAATAAGTCTTGGATTTTGTCAGGTGCTTTTTCTGTGTCTACTGAAATGATCAGGTTTCTTTTCCTTTTTTATAGTTTGTTTTGAATTATGTTGACTGAATTACACTGACTGATTGTTGGGTGTGAAAACAAACTTGTGCTCTTGAGACAGGACCCAGTTGGCCATGATGAATTATCTTTTATATACATTGTTGAATTCAGTTCGCTAAATTTTATCTATCATATTTACATCTGAACTCATATGAGGTAATGGCTTGTAGTTTTAATGTCTTTGTCTGCTTTTGGTATAAGACAAGTTCTGGTCTCATTGCAGGAATTGTAAAATATTCCTTCCAGATCAGTGTGCCACAAATCTGAAGAGTTTCTCCCAGCCACCACCATTTCTCACCTCATGACTGCAATAACCTCCATCTCACCCCCACACCTACTTGTACAGACTGGAACTGGAATAAGCTAGAGTGTTTATTTCCTTTATTCATTTTTAATAAAGTATTTTTAAACTGTAAAAGTAGTTATATCTGGGTAGAAAGACTTGCATCCAGGTCTGTTTTGATGCCTACATGAGCAGCTCACTGTGCGGCCCCACTGTCTTCATCTACCTATGGGAGTAGGCAATACTTGTTGTCTCCCCCGTAAAGCTGGATGAACTCCAGATAGCCACTTTAGAAAAAGAGTACCAGTAGGGAAAACGTTGCTCTTCTACTAAGCATTTCACACAGATTTTTTGGATTTATATGGAGCATGTAATTGTCAAGGAGTATTTAATTTACTTGGATTATTTAATAGAATCCTCATAATAACCCATTAAGTAAATGGAGGCATACAAGGAAGTTAAGCAGCTTGCTCAGGCTCAACAGCCGGTGAGAGGGCAGTAGGAGCCCCACCTGCGGCAAGTGTGCAAATGCGGTATCGTGCACCTTGGGGGAGGTGCCCACCCTCACCCCCCTCAGACCGTTTTCTGCCCTATCTCTCTGGTTTTTCTTAGTATCATTTCCTGAAGTCATCTCTGTTTTCTGTCTTCCCCCACTAGAATATCAATTTGCAATGTCCCCATGTCCATGAGGCCATTCTTGATATGTCAGTGAATATTTATACATGAGATTTCACTGGTTATAAACATAAAGATGTTTGAATTCTGAACAGGGCATTTGCAATTATACAATTTAATAAGAGAAAAATGAGAAGGGACATAATGGAGAAAAACCAGCTAATGGGGACACATTTACATAGAAATTTGCAATGATAGGATTTGATTTCAGATAAAGCATGCACTCTCAGAAAAAGGGCACGTCCACTAACTATACCTTCCTGAGTCCTGATGACATGACGACTTAGGCACATATTGGAGCTCTTAGCAGGGCCATATTTTATTTTATTTTATTTTATTTTTTTTTAACTTTTATTTAATGCATATAAATTTCCAAAGTACAACTTATGGATTACAATGGCTTCCCCCCCATACCGTCCCTCCCACCCACAACCCTCCCCTTTCCCACTCCCTCTCCCCTTCCATTCACATCAAGATTCATTTTCGATTATCTTAATATACAGAAGATCAGCTTAGTATACATTAAGTATGGATTTCAACAGTTTGCTCCCACACAGAAACATAAAGTGAAAAATAATAGATGATTTTTTTAAATGATGATGAAATCAGAGCAGACCTATTGTCATGTTTAATCCCAGTGAGAGTCAAGTTGGGAATTGATAATTTCTTTTTTTTTTTTTACAGAGGATCAGTTTAGTATGCATTAAGTAAGGATTTCAACAGTTTGCACCCCCATAGAAACACAAAGTGAAATATATTGTTTGAGTACTCGTTATAGCATTAAATCTCAATGTACAGCACATTAAGGATAGAGATCCTACATGAGGAGTAAGTGCACAGTGACTCCTGTTGTTGACTTTACCAATTGACACTCCTGTCTATGGCATCAGTAATCTCCCTATGCTCCAGTCATGAGTTTCCAAGGCTATGGAAGCCCTCTGAGTTCTCCGACTCTTATCTTGTTTAGACAAGGTCATAGTCAAAGTGGAGGTTCTCTCCTCCCTTCAGAGAAAGGTACCTCCTTCTTTGATGACCTGTTCTTTCCACTGGGATCTCACTCGCAGAGATCTTTTGCCAGAGTGTCTTGGCTTTCCATGCCTGAAATACTCTCATGAGCTTTTCAGCCAGCTCCGAATGCCTGTAGGGCTGATTCTGAGGCCAGAGTGCTATTTAGGACATCTGCCATTCTATGAGTCTGCTGAGTATCTCACTTCCCATGTTGGATCACTCTCCCCTTTATTTACTCCATCAGTTAGCGTTAGCAGGTACTAGACTTGTCTATGTGCTCCCTTTGACTCCCAGTCCCTTCACCATGACCAACTGTGAACTGAAACTGATCACCTGGAACAGTGAGATGGCATTGGTACATGCCACCTCGATGGGATTGAATTGGAATCCCCTGGTATGCTTCCAACTCCACCACTTGGGGCAAGTCAGCCTGAGCATGTCCCAAATTATACATCTCTTCCCTCTCCCATTCCCACTCCCATGTTCAACAGGGATCACATTTCAGTTAATTTTCAACACTTAAGAATAACTGTGCATCAATTACAGATCTAAACCAGTCATATTAAGTAGAACAGATAAAAAAAACTACTAAGAGGGATAATGTATTTAGTTGTTCATTAACAGTCAGGGCTATGCTGATCAAGCCACCATTTCCCATAGTGTCCACCTCACTCCAACAGGTTTCCCTCTTGGTGTTCAGTCAGTCGTCACCGATCAGGGAGAACATATGGTATTTGTCCCTTCGGGACTGGCTTATTTCACTCAGCATGATGTGTTCCAGATTCCTCCATTTTGTTGCAAATGACTGGATTTCGTTGTTTCTTACTGCGGTATAGTATTCTAAAGAGTACATATCCTATAATTTCTTTATCCAGTCTATCGCTGATGGGCATTTAGGTTGGTTCCAGGTCTTAGCTATTGTGAATTGAGCTGCAATAAACATTAGGGTGCAGACCTCTTTTTTGTTTGCCAATTTAAATTCCTTTGGGTAAATTCCAAGGAGTGGGATGGCTGGGTCGAACGGTAGGGTTATCTTCAGGTTTCTGAGGAGTCTCCAGACTGACTTCCATAGTGGCTTGACCAGTTTGCATTCCCACCAACAGTGGGTTAGTGTCCCTTTTTCCCCACATCCTCGCCAGCATCTGTTGTTGGTAGATTTCTGCATGTGAGCCATTCTAACTGGGGTGAGGTGAAACCTCATTGTGGTTTTGATTTGCATTTCCCTGATTGCTAATGACCTTGAACATTTTTTCATGTGCCTGTTGGCCATTTGGATTTCCTCTTTTGAAAAATGTCTATTGAAGTCCTTGGCCCATCTCTTAAGTGGGTTGTTGGTTTTGTTTTTGTGGAGTTTCTTGATCTCTTTGTAGATTCTGGTTATTAACCCTTTATCTGTTGCATAGTTTGCAAATATTTTTTCCCATTCTGTCGGTTGTCTCTTCACTCTCCTGACTGTTTCTTTTGTAGTACAGAAACTTCTCAATCTTTTGTAGTACAGAAACTTCTCAATTTGATGCAATCCCAATAGTTAATTTTGGCTTTGACTGCCTGTGCCTCCCGGGTCTTTTCCAGAAACTCTTTGCCTGTGCCAATATCTTGAAGGGTTTCTCCAATGTTCAAAGGGAGCACATAAGCAAGTCTAGTACCTGCTAACACTAACCGATAGAATAAATAAAGGGGAGAGTGATCCAACATGGGAAGTGAGATACTCAGCAGACTCATAGAATGGCAGATGCCCTAAATAGCACTCTGGCCTCAGAATCAGCCCTAAAGGCATTCAGATCTGGCTGAAAAGCCCATGAGAGTATTTCAGGCATGGAAAGCCAAGACACTCTGGCAAAAGATCTCTGTGAGTGAGATCTCAGTGGAAAGAACAGGTCTTCAAAGAAGGAGGTACCTTTCTCTGAAGGGAGGAGAGAACCTCCACTTTGACTATGACCTTGTCTAAACAAGATAAGAGTCGGAGAACTCAAGGGGCTTCCATAGCCTTGGAAACTCATGACTGGAGCATAGGGAGATTACTGATGCCATAGACAGGAGTGTCAATTGGTAAACTCAACAACAGGAGTCACTGTAAACTTACTCCTCATGTAGGATCTCTGTCCTTAATGTGCTGTGCATTTGAGATTTAATGCTATAACGAGTACTCAAATA